GCCAAGGGAGGTCGAAAGGCCGGCTCTGGACTGGAGGCGAGGTCAGTGGCGTGTAGTAGTGGTGACCTGTTGGGCCACTACTGACGGACCAAAGCTGTACGTGCCTTGCACATCCTCCAATGCGGCGTCTCGCAGGTAATGACAGGCAAAGACTGTGTTAGACCGCCATAAACAACCCTCCATGATGGCACGTAGAGAGCAGTTACTGTGTAGCGCCATGGCGGAGGCGACTGCCTGGATCTCATGCAGGTTTTTGGAATGCAGGGTGTCCAATCCCGCTGCATTGTAGGCCTGGAGAATGATGGCTCGTAGCCAAAGGGCGATCGAGTGCAGCTGACTTCCGCTCGCGAGGTTGCAGACACCGGTATTAAGGCGTCGTCGTTGTCTATGGTGTTCCTTGGATCGTCTGATGTAGCAGCGCAGCGCTATAAGGGGCCATAGACGGAGCTCTAGTTTGTCTTCTGCGCCCACAAACGAAGATAGGGGAGGGATGAGGAACGATCTATCTGGCTGTCCTGGGAGTTGATTCTTGGCAATGAAGTCCCAGCACAGTCCAAGATGCACGGCTCCGTGTGCTCCTTGCTCAATAAGGACGCGCGTGATGTCCAAGGTTTGTGGCTCACTGACACAGGCTGCTGTAGCAAGCGCCAGGAGGAAGACCGTCTTTTTCGTCAGATTCTAGAATGACATCTCTCAGCGAGGTGAGAATGACGTTCAAGTCCAAAGCTGGTGGACGAAATTTTGCCTTTTGGCCGATTTTTGTCATGCGCCGATCTTCCGGAACTGCCCTGACGGAGTTGAGCGCCACAAGGTAAGTCATGATGGTACTACCCTTGATCTTGCGGTTGTGGCGAAGATAAAGCATGAACTCAGCCAGGAATTGAGGCGATGCAGACGTGGGGTCTTGCTGTTTGCCCCATCAAAAGCTCTCGAAGGATTGCCACTTGTCGTCATAGAGGCTCCTTGTGGTTGGGCGATGACCCTAGCCGGTCTGGCCTAGTAGTCCTTGGCGTTCAGTGCTCTCTGTAAATGGACCACATGTCTTCTGGACGAACCTGGGAAGGAGTACAGGTGGCGGAAAAGTGTACGCTGTTAGTCCTTCCCAGGGGATGCTGAAGGCGTCGACTGCCCAAGACAGGGGACCAGGGACCGGCAATATGTAGGTCGGAAACTGGTAGTCCTGGCTGGTGGCGAATAGGTCTATGTTGGGGAGACTGTGAAACAAGAGCGAAGGCATCTTGGTGGAGCTTCCACTCTGTGGGGGCGACCTTGCCTGGCCAAGAAAGAGCATCCAATAGGATGTTTCGGCAGCCCGGAAAGTGCTGGACGAACTGGATCCCCAGATGATCTACCAGGTGGAGGAATCGGAATGTCTGCTAGGTCGAGTGAGTTGGTCCTTGGTTCCGTAGGCACCAGATGACGGTTCTGTTGTCCGTCGAGATGGAGAGCCAGGCATGTCTGAGGGTCTGCTTCCGGTGTGCAATGACCAAGATAAGCGCCTCTAGTTGGAGGTTGTTTACGTGCCTTAGGCGCTGCTCGGCTGACCACAGACCTGAGGTGCCTGTCCCTCAAGATGTGTGCCCCATCCCTGTAGGGATGCGTCTACGAATAGGCGCAGAGAGTTCGTAAGCCCTATCAAGGAGACAATCGTTTATGTATGCCTCAAACTGAATAGCCAAGAGATGGAGGTAAGAGGCTATCGGCTATCCACGGGGCTGAAGAAATTCCAAATGGGAGGACTGCCCATCGGTAATGGACTCCCATGAAGATGAAGCAGAGGAATTTCGGGTCATCGGGATGTATTGGGCCATGTAGGTAGGCATCCTCGATATCCAGGCTAATGAGTACATCCTGTGCCTGGATCCGGGATCATAGCAGCCCTAGCGTGGTCATCTTGAAGTTAGGTTGACGCGCCAGGTAGCGTTTGTTGAAAGCAGCACGATTGTGAATCACCCTGTTTGTCCGAGTCCTTCTTGGGGACTAGGAAGACAGGTGAATAGAAACCCGGTGTTACGGCTGGGGCGTGTATGACCTCTATCGTTTCTGGCTCAGTAGGGGGTTGAGTAGGGGGGTAGGTGTCCACTATAGGGGATGATGTGAGCTGCGGGTAGTCTATAAGCGTCAGCTTGCACCCGTGTCGGATGATGTTGGTGATGTATGGGTCCCCCAGGATCTCCCATTTCTGCCAGAATCGACCCAGTCTCCCACCTGGAGTGTTGACAACTTAGACGACTGGGGGTTGGAGGTCACAGTCTTGTGTGTCTGAAGATTGACTTGAAGTCCTTGGGGTTGCCGCAGTGCTGGTAAGAGCCTGAGGACTTGCGTTTTCCTCTGCCTCTACCCCGAGAGGTTGAGGTGGTGCCCCGCCCCAGGGGCTGGAGGGTGTTGTGTCATGGCTGGTTTGAGCCAGACTGGGACGCCCTTAGCAAAGTTGGCTGTGACCTCCTAGCCAGGGCCTTGAGAGCGGTCTCATCTCAGGCGAAGATCACTCTTAAACTCTGGGTCCCAGGCCAACAGAGCAAGGTAGCCCAGGCATCTCGCGGCTGTGAGCTCAATCTGGGCTGCCCTCATATGAGAGCGCATATGCTTGACTTGTTGCTGGAGGTAGGATACAACGGTGGTTAGATGGTCTATCCATTGAGCGTTATCCTCCAACAAGTCCTGTAGAATGGCTCTGGAGGACGACACCATCAGTGAGAGATGCTTGAGAGTGTGGCGAATCTCAGTCTCCATGTAGGTGAGTTTACTGTCAGAAACTCATACTGAAGTCGAGCGGTTAGACTCATCCAAGGTATGAGCGTGGTCCGCAACCTGGAGAGAGTGGACTGGGTAGTCGCCTGAAGGACGGAGTCAGCGAGAGTTTACTGAAGTCCTCATCCAGGGCTGAGATCATGTCTTTAATCAGCGGGTCCAGTGGGATCGAGGTAGCGTCCAAATGGATGGCTGTCTTGCTATTGACCTCTAGGCCAGGAGAGGGAGCGACCATCTGCAACCTGGTCTAGGCCAAGGTGGGACTCGCAGTCCATGGGGGTGTCGTCATAACAAGGGATGAAGGCACCCTCCTAGGAGTCAAAACGGTAGCCACTGGAGCGTCTGCTAACAGGGGAGCGGCTCCTAGATCGAGAATCCTGACGAGATGACCGACTGTTACTCCGACGTGAAGACATACTTTGGGAAGCCAAGTCCATGAAGTAACGAGACGTAGAAGGAACATTCATGCCTGATGACAGAGATGGCGTCTGTAAAGGCGTCCAACGAGGCACTGGCAAGGGCGTGGGCATCTGTATAGGTGCTGTTTGATGGATAGGCGCCATCTGTATAGGCGCTATGGGTGGCGCTTGTAGGGACGTCTGTAAAGGCGCTGGGGCAGTAGCGTCAGCGTCTGCATGGCCTGTAACTACTATATGTATTGTATGTGTCTATCATGGGCGTCTGTGCCATTCCTGTGGACTGTATAGGCGCCATTTGGTAAGAGAGCGCCATGCCGGGCATCATGGTGGAGGCCACCGCCATAAAGATAGACGAGGGTGCTCTGGGTAGAGACTGAGACAGTGAGACCCGACATCATGGCAATGGTCGAGGTCGGAGAGTTGTCCGAGATAGCCTGGTAGTGGGCTAATTCTCGGAAAGGTCAGACATCTTGCGCCAGTGTTTCCTGGCCTGTGGTGTTCCCCTTGTCCTGGACACACGGAGGTACCATCTGAAAGCTGTGGGAGAAAGCGGGAGGCAGTCTTTACATTGATGACCCTGGAGGCATTGAGATGAACAATTAAGGCACAGGGGGTGGGGATCCCACGCAGACATATTACGCCAGCACTTGGAGCAGGAGGGTATGATATCTGCAATGAAGCAGAGTAAAATCACAATGCGTCCTCGCCCGATTATGTATGCTATAATTTGTTTATCCCATGGCGTGGGTTTATGAAAAAATTATTACCAAACGTAAGACAACATACAAACAAAGACAAAATACTTGTGAGGATACGCCAATGGTGGGGTACAAAAGCAAGAAGAATATAGGATGCAAGACAGTTCATTAACTCGTTGGCCACGTAAAATATTCAAGATGGCTACTTGAAACAACAAGACACCTAGCATTAGTCATTGTTTTCTTCAAAGTAAATGCTAGCAGGTGTCAAAAGATGTTATGCACATATTACCAAACATAGAATGTACAAAATACAAACCATATGCAGAACACAGAGACAATAAACATTGACTCAATGAGCAAAGACATGAGGGTTTGAAGTAGTTTATGTTACAGGTGAAAAACAGGTCTTCACTCAAGAAGTGACAAGAGTAATGTGAGCACACATGCAGCTATCTTCATTAATTAAAGACCGCCTCCGTGGTCTAGTGTCTGCCCAGGGTTCTCTCTCTCTCTCTCACACACACACACACAGACACACAGAGAGACACACACAGAGACACACAGAGACACACACACAGACAGACAGACAGACAGACAGACAGACAGACAGACAGACAGACACACACACACACACACACACACACACACACACACACACACACACACACACGTACGTTCATGCACATCGTTATATAAGTGCAATAATCTTGGTCACGACGTTAAACCCCATTTCATCTCACCTCATGAATTAAGCATCACAATATTTTGTGATTCTATTTCAAGTGGCGAGGACCATAAGTCACCTTGTTGCACAAACCCCACAAAATATTTGTCTGCATTTGTTCTACAATTTAATGTACTACATTATGTACTTGACATTGTTTTCACAGTCATACACACTTTACAAAACGGAGGTCATGCACAACTGTTTGGAATTTCAGATAACTTAGGTGCTCAGTAAGATATCGTGTTGAAGATGAAAATCTCCAAATAATCATAAAGGTACAATTCAGATATATTCAGAAAACACAACATGTAATGATATCACATCATGTTCACTATTCTGCATCAATACAAAATAGTGGCAGACGGTTGAGTAGTAGTTGTGGAGGGAATACTGTTTACTCACGCCTTCCTTGTACTGCAAGAATCTCTTGTTGGTCTCTTTCTTGTCAAATCTGTCCAGGTACTTGAGACGATGACCTAGCACAGTATCAACATGAGTCTTGTGCTTCACAGCAAGCTCTAGTGACCTGAAACACATGATCAAGCTCAAGTGACCTGAAACACAGAAGCAATCTCTAGGGACCTATAACACAGAAGCAGACTTTTGGTATTTTTGTATTCAATAGAATTATTAAACAATAGTTGTCACTTTTATTAATCCAAAGAATCTCTATTGCATCTATTCCATCCACCTCACCAATACTCTACATCTAGGTTGCTAATGTTGAAAAGGAGTGAAGACTTCCTAGCTGTGCTCCTCATGGGCAGAGGTTTAGGAAGGGAGATACCATTAGTATCTCAACTGGTAATGGTTAGCTGACAGATTTTATAGTGTGATGACAGCCAAAACTCAGGATTTCTGGCACGGATGTAACAGAGGTTTTGCATTTATAAGAATCGAACCGTATTGCTTATTGAGCCAAAAAGAGTTCATATGAGTGTACCTGTCCCAGTTATACAACTGAATGTTGAGCATGATGGCCCTGAACGTGAGTCCGGCCTGTAGTAGGATGGCTTCAGCATCTTGAGGACTGCCACACAACAAGGCCATCTCAGCATTGCGGGCCTCTTTCACCGGAATATCTTTGATATTCATAATGAACTGCACTTTGTCCGTCTGCAAAGAAAGTTGCTACATGTAAGACACCATTACTTATGTACTTCAGAGACCATATTCATTATATAAACCACATGGGCATAAGGGCTAACTGAAGACCGCTCACTGCTGCACGAGACCAAGCAGCACTTTCATACCAGACTGCAAGATTCGAAGATTTACAAGGGATGGTTTCATGAATTGACTTGGCAATCAGCTGTTCAACAATTTACATATTTGCAAAAGTAGCAGTGACATTTTCACATATTTTATGTTATATAAAAAGTCAATAAATAGTTACACAAAAACATTTCTTGTTTGTGTTATACAGTTTTGCCGGCAACAGTATTATTAATGGTAATCGCTTTGTCTCTTCTTTGTTTAGGTCAGGTTAATACATCTTCATAATACTTGCATTTCATGTTACTGGGAATCTTAAGTATAATATAGTGTGCAGTTTCTTCACCATGGTAAACATGGAAGATTTTTGGTGTGTGTTGGATAACAATGAAGTTGAGTTCTGTGATCAATAAAGGGTGAGAATCTAAAATATTGTACAAAGCAACACACATGTTGAGCCCCACTACTAAGGACACAAACCAAATTTAATTACATTTCGAACTGAGTAATGGTGATAAACATCATAAACAAGTTTTTTTTCAATATGGCTACCATTACGGCCATATTGAAAATTGGATTTGAACCTCTTGAAAGATTTGGGGTGTCAAAATTAGTGGTTTCTGAGGAGAAAACATTTATGACAGATGCTGTATGATTCAATACATTACCTGGAGAAACAGGCTCCCATTTTGAAAATAATATTGACAGTCAGTAACCATAGATTTATTTCATTAAGGTTGTCTTCTTCCATTAATTTTAAAATTTTGGAAAGGGGGCCTTCGAAAGGCTTGAATTTTGAGAATGAAATTCTGTAGGAAGCCTGTCATGCTCATTAATATTGTCTGTGTTACTCACCTCTTTAATAGCAGCATATGCCACCTCTGCTGTGTTGAGTTCCTTAGCATAGGATGCCATTGCTGCCAGACATGCCCACAGTGTATCTTCCTGGGAACAACCATATCATATACGTCACACAAATGTCACACATTAGATAACCCTTCCTTTACTTGTCACCTTACCGATATAATTGAAACAGAAAGTTGCTCAGAACTGTTTCATCCCCAGCAAAAATCTGCTACCCCTCACTAGAGAGACGTAATAGATACCTTAACAAAGCGACACAGCCGGAGGGAGTCTCCCCAGCGACTAGAGTTGGCATAGCTGTGGAGGACTCCAGGGTACGGAGATACCGTGGTGCTGATCAGAGAGCCCTCACTTCGACGCAGGATTAAGTGATTTCCAACAAAATCAATAAGTTGTGGTGCCTTGCCAAATTCACTGAAACAGCAAAATTAACATAATTAATATTTTAGAAAAGAAATATCATTTATATTTATCCTGACTCATACAAACTGCTTATCTCATGTCATTTTCAAAAGGTAGTGGAAACTCCTGTGCTGTGATCCAAGAGAAAAAACATCTCACTCAAACCACATGACCATGCTGGTAGACTCGTCCCTCTCTCATTTACCTACTTATCGGCCAAAACACTCTCAGGGTAAAGAGGCGACAGCTGGGAGGCTACTGTAGGGTATGAGTCAGTATAAGTATAAATAAGTAATAAATTTTTACTCTAAAAAATACATATTTTACCTTATCCTGACTCATACTAATTGCTTGAATCTCAAGGTGGATGGTTCCACCTGTATGCATTATTCAGATGTGATCTGTTTATAACCCTCTTGGGAACATGATTAAACATCCTGTTTGTTTTTCTAATATCCTTGTTAGGTACCATTTCATTTTGGGTGAAAAAGAGGGAAATAATTATACCAGCTTACTTTAAATGATTATAGCGTTAAGAGAAGGTAATAAACTTTGTTGTCACTCATGTTCTGAATCACATTGTAAAACAGGGAAGCATGGAAAGCGGTGATGGGACAGTCACCTGACGTCAGGAATAGGTTCTTTGTATGCGTGGTCTTCTGTAATATCAGAGGTATCAGTGCTGGTGGTGGGAATGCATATGCATGAAGATGGCCCAAGCCCGAGTGTCTGGTACTGGGAAGACAAAGGTTGATATCTCATCTGTTGAATCTGGTTGCAAATAGATCCACCCATAGACAATCTTCTTTCCTTGTCGCCAGTCAGAATGCTTCCGGATGGAGCATTCATTTTGTTAGAGATGGTTTGGATGGTCTGGATTGGGCATTTGCTGATATATTTGACACTCCTGGGATGTGTCTTGCTTTTATTCTTAGATTCAGACTGTCTGTGATTGTACATTTGAAACGTTAACCTCAGGAGGGCTGCAGACCTTGTAGTTCCTTGGAGGTTTATGTAGAAGGCCCAACACTGAGTTGTCAATTGTGACAAACAATGAGATATTGCCTCGAACTCTAGATGGTTGATGTTGAAGAGCTTTTCTTCTATGGATCATAGCCCTGATGCTACTTACAAGTTGGTGAGCACCACCTCCTTGTAGTGAGGTGTCTACAAATAGATGTTGATTGTAATCTAGCTCATTCAAAATGGTTCCTTCACAGGCTTGGTTGTCCACCACTGAAGGTATTCTTCAGCCACAGTGGCAGTCAAAGTCTGAGACCTTGATGATTTAAGAATGGTCTTAGGAATCTCTGAATGGGATGAAGTCGAAGCCTCTTACTGTCAGTGCTTGGGCAGATTGTTTAGTCCTAATACCACTTACCATTGGTTGACTGAAGTCTGTTTGTGAATACCTGCTGGAAGACAGCTTTGAATCCAACAATCTTCTGGTACTTGAATTCGATTCTGCCCCGTTAGAAATCTGATCCACAGAAACTTGAGGTCTTGGGATGGTTGAAGGTCTGAAGGTTCTGAAAGTTTATAAACCCAATTAGGCTGGTAAATCATCTCAGAGTAAAGTTCAGTTGACACTTGAGTATCTCTACTAATTGATGTGCTTGAATTCCATCGTCCAGATAGAAGGCGCAATGGATCCCCCCTGTTGTGTAGAAAGGCAACGATTGGTTTGGTCACCAGTGTTAACAACCACTGAGCCATAGAAATTCCATAAGGCAGGACTGTCCATTGATAATGTTGCCCTTGGTATTGGAAAAGTAGGTATTTCCTGGAGGCTGGATGAATGGGGATGTGAAGGTAAGTGTCCTGTATATCGATGCTAATGAGACAATCATGCAGTTTTATCATCTGTTTTAGCTGTGGTAAGTGGAGCATTTTGTACTTGTCCAGCTTCTGAACATACTTTTTCTTGAATTCCTTCATGTTCTTTCGGGGACCAGGGAGATGAGTGAATAAAAACCTGGAGTTAGGACATCTGGCTGTACTATCTCTGCTTCTCTCTGTTGATTGCTTCTGTTAGTTTAGGTTGCAGTACCTGTATTGTACAATTGGCAGATTGAGAGAGAGAGAGGAGATGCCTCTCTTTTGGCTGAACTGTAATCCTTCTTGAGGATGTTCTTGACGAATGTGCCCTCCAAGAAGATGTCCCAATTCTTCCAGTACCTTGCCAGCTTTCCACCTCCTGTTGACTTCTGTACATGAAAAGCTGGATTCCCAGTCGTTCATCAGCTTCCCTTCATTTTCAGGCATGGGATCCCCTGGATCCTCAGCAACAGCCAGACTGGAGGTCTGGAGGTTCTTACTGTGATCAGAGGAAACAGACAGACATTTCTTCTTGGATCTAGACAAATGCTGAAGAAGGAAGTCGACACTCATTCTGCCAAGGGAAGAATATTGTGTAGGGATGACTGGATTATTCTGTGAGGTAGGAAGTTCAAGATGAATTTCTTACGTCAGACTCCCTGTCTTCCTCTGAAGAGACGTTAATGTTACCTCACATTGAAGTCGTCTCCAATGAGGAGGATGTAGATCGGGATGAATCCCGTCTCTTCTGGTCCATCTTCTTCTGCACTGTGAAGAGGTACTGTGCAAAGTCTTCATCTCTGAGGGGAGCAATGGAACTACACCTCCTCTCCACGGTTCAGTACTGAGGAACGCAAACTGAACAAATGGGGTGAGGATCACAATCTGAATCATGTATATGTCATATTGTACACGTTTTCATACCAAAAATGTGGGTGGGGTGGGGGTATTTAAAGCCAAAAATATGAAAATTCTAAACTTCTTTGATAGGCATTTAGAAGTTGGAGTACTAAGTTAGGATAAGAATTTATGGATGAACAACTTCTTTATTACAATTACCGTATTTGACATAATAAGCGCCCAGGGCGCTCTCCAAATTAGAAATAGGGGGCTCTTATTAGAATATTATTTTGGTGAAAAATAAATTGAAATAAGTTGAAAGATAAATTCGTGGTTTATGCTGACAGCCTGAAATGTTTATGTACGACATTTAGGAAGTTTGCCTAGGGCTTTAAAGTTAGCCGTATTGTTTTGAGGGTTTAAGATTTTCTCTAGGGTTATTTCAGTGTTTAGGTTTAGAGAGTTTAGGATTGTTGTTCTGTGTGTCTTGTAGTGTGGGCAGTGAATGACGGCATGTTCTGTGGTTTCTTGTTGAGTGCATTGTGGGCATCTGCCTGTTGGGTGTATTTTAAGTGTTTTAAGGTGACTGTTTAGTTTGGTGTGTCCTGTTTGTAGTTTAGTTATGGCTCTGTCGATTTTTTTTGAAGGGTGGAGACTGTTAGGTTTAGTTAGGGCTTTATTAATTATTTTTTTGAGCTGACAGTTTGAGTTTTTGTATTTTGTTTGCCATGTTTTGGTGAATTTTTGGTTGGTTATGCTTTTAATTTCTGATTTTGAGATTGGCAGATTTAGGCTTATTTCTTGGAGTTTAAGGGAGAGTTTAGCTGCTTGGTCTGCGTTTTCATTACCATAAATTCCTACATGTGCGGGTATACAAACAGATTCTATTTGTTTGCCTGCTTTAGTTAGTTCAATGGACTTTTTTAATATTTGAGTTAATAGTTTGGGGCTGTTTTTAGTGTTTTTGTTTTTTAGGGCCTGGAGTCCACTGAGGGAGTCTGTGAGAATGAGGATGTTTTGTTGGGTTTTTAGTTGTGGGTTGTGTAGGGCTGTGGCCATGCCCATAAGTTCGGCCGTGAAGATTGACTGGTTATTGGGGAGTCGATAGGATTTGGTTTGTTTCAGAGGTTGAGAGATGTGGATGCCAAAGCCTGTGTGTTTGTAGGAGGGGTCAGAGGATCCGTCTGTGTAGAAGTGACACCAATTTGGCCATTTTTCGTGGATGTATGCTAGTGAGTTGTTTGGGGCGATGTTGGGATTCGTTTGTTTGTTTAGAGTGAAGGCGAGTGTGGTGTCTATTTTTGGGGTTTGGAGTTTTGGAGTGTAGATGTTTGAGGGTTTGGTGTTTTGTTTTAAGTTTTTTAGTTGATGTTCATTTAGGTAGTTTATTATTCTTTGTGATATGGGGGTTAGAAGTGGATTTTTGCAGGCTTGCACTTGGTTTTTCGGGCTTATGTTATTTTTGAGAATGTTTTGGATAAGAGGATTGGATTGGGAGGCCGCCCAGAAGTTTAGAGTTAATTGTTCCCTACGTAGTTCTAGTGGGATTTCCCCTGTTAAGGATTGTAGTGATGTGCTTGATGTGATGTGATTGTTTAGGGTGTTGTAAATGGCGCTACCATAGTCTATTTTAGATCGGATTAGGGCTATGTATAGGGAGAGTAGTGGTTTTTTTTAGGCTCCCCAGTTGGAGCATGTGAGGTATCTAAGTGCGTTTAAGTCCTTACTGCATTTCGATACGAGGTTTTTTATGTGAGCATCCCATGTGAGATGCTCATCGAAAATTAAACCTCGGAATTTAGTTTGTTTCTGAAATTTGATTTGATTATTGTTTAGTTGTAATTTTGGATATGCAGGTTTCATGTTTTTATGTTTAAAGACTATACCTGTGTTTTTTCAGGGTTTAGTGAGAAGCCCCGTTTATCTGCCCATTGTTGGATTTTGTTTAATGATTTTTTAAGTGGATCTTGGGTTAGTTTGATGCTTTTAGTGCGGATCCAGAGGGCTCCATCATCTGCGAATTTTGAGGTGTTTACTTTTGGGGATAGTCCATCGAATAGATTGTTAATCATTATGTTAAAAAGTGTTGGGCTTAGGATGCTGCCTTGGGGTGTGCCGTTTTCTAGGGGACACTGGTTTGATAGAGTTTGGTCTATTCCCACTGTAATTTTGCGGATTGTTAGGAAATCTTGAATGTAGTTAATTATTTGTCCTTTGAGTCCTATTTTTTTAAGTTTTTGTATTAGCCCATTATGCCAAACCATATTGAAAGCTTTGGAGAAATCTAAGAAGATACCTGTTGTGTATTGTTTATGTAGTTGTCCAGTTTGTATGTCTTGCTCTAGTCTAAGGTG